GGGGCTTCCATTTCTTCTTTCCACCATCAAAGCTTTCACATTACAGATCAGGGAAGCCAAAGCATTGTGTCTGCCATTTTATGAGTAGGTCGATTTCAACTTCACTCTCAAGGCCTGAGGAAGGAGCCACACGGGGTCTTTGGAGCCCCCTTGACCCACTGTGTGATGGTCTTTTTTTTTTTTTTTTTTTTTTTTTGAGACAGAGTCTTGCTCTGTCGCCCAGGCTGGAGTGCAGTGGCCGGATCTCAGCTCACAGCAAGCTCCGCCTCCCGGGTTCACGCCATTCTCCTGCCTCAGCCTCCCGAGTAGCTGGGACTACAGGCGCCCGTCACCTCGCCCGGCTAGTTGTTTGTATTTTTAGTAGAGACGAGGTTTCACCGTGTTAGCCAGGATGGTCTCGATCTCCTGACCTCGTGATCCGCCCATCTCAGCCTCCCAAAGTGCTGGGATTACAGGCTTGAGCCACCGCGCCCGGCCGTGATGGTCTTTAGGTAAATCCTCCATTCATTACCTGACACCCCCAAGCACACCAGTCAGACCAGGATTCATAGCGACCTTTGTGTCCCTACAAATTAGGATTGAGTCAGAGTCAGAGTCCAGTAATCTTTTCTCTTTCTCTAATCCCCAGCGACCGTGGATATTGGCCTTTAGGAAAAACTGGGAGAAAGGTTTACAGTGTATGATTTGACTATTATCAGTGAGTCCTCCCTGGGGGAAAAGCATCCCCTACACGGAAGGGATTCCAAGACCAAGAACTGGCTCAGGACTGGTAACAGGTGTGAGGCTTTACGGGTGGACGTGCTGGTGCCTCACCCAGATCTCCTTTGCAGGCACCGAACACTCATTCCTAAGCAGTGTGTTGGCTGCTGGCAGATGCCACGTTCTCAAGAGACTTGCTCTTGGCTGGGCGCAGTGGCTCACACCTGTAATCCCAGTACTTTGAGACACTGAGGCAGGTGGATCACATGGGGTCAGGAGTTCGAGACCAGCCTGGCCAACATGGTGAAACCCTGTCTCTACTAAAAATACAAAAACTGGCCAGGCGCGGTGGCTCGCACCTGTAATCCCAGCACTTTGGGAGGCTAAGGCAGGCAGATCATGAGGTCAGGAGATCAAGACCATCCTGGTTAACACAGTGAAACCCTGTGTTTGTATCTACTAAAGATACAAAAAATTAGCCAGGCATGGTGGCAGGTGCCTGTAATCCCAGTTACTTGGGAGGCTGAGGCAGGAGAAAGGCATGAACCTGGGAGGCAGAGATTGCAGTGAGCCGAGATTGTGCCACTGTACTCCAGCCTGGGCGACAGAGTGAGACTCTGTCTCAAAAAAACAAAACAAAACAAAACAACAACAACAAGCGAAAAGTAGCTGGGTGTGATGGCAGGTGCCATAATCCCAACTACTCCAGAGGCTGAGGCAGGAGAATCATTTAATCTGGGAGGTGGAGGTTACAGTGAACCAAGATGGTGCCACTGCACTTCAGCCTGGGTGACAGAATGAGAGCAAGACTTCATCTCAAAAAAAAGAAAAATAGAGACTTGCTCTTGCTCTTGACCTGAGAGGAATGTGTTTTACTAGCTAGGAAAGTCATGAAACTCTCGTCCCTGGAGAAGCCCATAGACAAAGATTAGAGGTTAAAAGTTCAGATTCTGTCTCTGTAATGGGATCCCTCTGAAGTGATAGCCTCCCTTGGCTCCTTCCTCTGCCCCATACTGCTTTCATCACTCTCTTTCTTCTGAAAGCAAACCCTCAAATAGTTCATGAGTGTCTGAACCCTTGCCTCAGGTTCTGCTTCTGGGAAACCTGAGCCAAGGCCCCGTGCTGCCCCACTGTGGTGACTCTGGTGCCTGCTCACCAGAGCTAGAGATGGTATCATATACACCAAGTAACACTGTCTTGGTGCTTCTTATCACACTGTTAAGAGGAATTGAAAAGAACTCAGGTGGTGAGGGTCATGCTAACAGGGTCTCTCATTAGTGGCTCCTTGGGAATTTCTGCTCTTAAGGAGAAAAAAGGAGCATGGCTAAGTCTCTCCTGAGGTTGCTGCTAAGATGTTGGCTGGGACTGCATTCATATGAAGGCTGGACTGGGAGTTGGAGGGCCCACATCCAAGGTCCTACAGGTTTTGTTTTTAGTGTGCCTTCCCCACACACAGGCAGCTGCTCCATGAGGATTTTGGAAGCTGGGGAATGTGGGCCATTTTGTGGAGTGGGTGATTTTTTTTATTGTTGCTTTTTTTGTTTGTTTGTTTGTTTGTTTGAGACAGTCTCGCTCTGTCGCTCAGGCTGGAGTGCAGTGGCCGGATCTCAGCTCACTGCAAGCTCCGCCTCCCGGGTTCCCGCCATTCTCCTGCCTCAGCCTCCTGAGTAGCTGGGACTACAGGCACCGGCCACCTCGCCCGGCTAGTTTTTTGTATTTTTAGTAGAGTCGGGGTTTCACCGTGTTAGCCAGGATGGTCTCGATCTCCTGACCTCGTGATCCACCCGTCTCGGCCTCCCAAAGTGCTGGGATTACAGGCTTGAGCCACTGTGCCCGGCTGCTTTTTGTTTTTTGAGATGGAGTATCCCTCTGTCACCTAGGCTAGAGTGCAGTGGTGTGATCTCGGCTCACTGCAGCCTCCGCTTCCCAGGTTCAAGTGATTCTCCTGCCTCAGTCTCCTGAGTAGCTGTGATTACAGGTATGCACCATCACACCCAGCTAATTTTTGTATTTTATAGTAGAGATGGCCACCATGTTGGCCAGGATGGTCTTGAACTCCTGACCTCAGGTGATCCGCCCACTTCGGTCTTCCAAAGTGTTGGGATTACAGGTGTGAGCCACCATGCCTGGCCAAGGAGTTGGGTTTTGAAGAGAAGGCAAGTCGAGTGTGGTAGGATGGTGAGTGTGGAGTCAACCTAAGTAATGTGGTTTTTTTCAGACAGGGAGGGTGAGCATGTTTATAAGTTGGAGATCTAGATGGGAGGGAAGAGAGAAAGAAAGAGGGAAGAGAGAGAGAGTGAGTGGGGGAGAGGGAGAGGGAGGGAGGGAGGGAGAGAGAGAGAGAGAGAGAAAAGTATAGGGGAGACAGCTGGTGGTGGCTCATGCCTGTAATCCCAGGACTTTGGGAGGCCAAGGTGGGAGGATCACTTGAGCCTAGGAGTTTGAGACCAGTCTGGGCAACATAACAAGACCCCGTCTCTATTTAAAAGAGAAATTTAAGATATAAGAGAGAAACAGAGAAAGTTTAGAACAGAAACCCAAGTGACTGGCCGGAATGACATCCGGTGCCTACTGAAAGGAAACTTCTCACAACCAAACCCTTCTGTGTGCAGATGGGGAAACTGAGGCTCTCAGAGACAGAGAAACTGACTTCCCAAGAGCAGTGGTGTGAGAACTTATTTATTTATTTTGTTTATTTTGAGACAGAGTCTTCCTCTGTCCCCCAGGCTGGAGTGCAGTGATGCAAACACAGCTCACTGCAGCCTCCACCTCTTGGGCTCAACTGATCCCCCCTCCTCAGCCTCCTGAGGAGCTGAGGCCACAGGCATGCACCACCATGCCTGGTAATTTACTTTTACTTTTTATAGAGACGGGATCTCCCTATGTTGCCCAGGCTGGTCTTGAACTCCTGGGCTCAAGGGATCCTCTCGCCTCAGCCTCCCAAATTGCTGGAATTACAGACATGAGTAACCATGCCCAGCTGTTTTCTTTTCTGAGACAGGGACTCACTCTGTCACCCAGGCTGGAGTTCAGTGGCACAATCACAGCTTACTGCAGCCTTGACCTCCCAAGCTCAGGTGATCCTCCCACCTCAGCCTCCCGGGTAGCTGGGACTGCAGGCGTGCACCATGCCTGGGTAATTTTTTCTTCTTTTGTTTTTCTTTGCAAAAGATGGGGTTTTGCTATGTCGCCCGGGCTGGTCTCAAACTCCTGGGCTCAAGTGATCTTCCCAGTTCAGCCTCCTGAGTAGCTGGGCACACACCAACATGCCCGGCTGGGGTTTGTATTCTTAACTTCCAGACTACATGTGAGATTAAGGCAGTTCACCTGTGCACATAATTAGTAAGTCAACAAAAACACTTTGAAAAGCCCTGGGTGTCCGGCCCCTTCTGAGCACAGGTGACCTAGGGATGAACTAAAAATAAACATGACTAAGATTCATCAAGTGTTTAAAACAGGCCGGGCCTTGTTCCAAGACTTTCCACGTAGTAACTCATCTATTTATCTTAGCATATTTACAAGGGTGCCCATTCTTTAGAGGTGAGGAATCTGAGTCACTGAGGACTTAAGTCATTTGCCCAGGGTCAGATGAATATCTGATGATGAATATGAATATGCAGATGAACATGCAAATTAGAAGAGTCTGTGGTGTGGAAGACAGCGCCCAGGGTCCTGACTGGGCTAGAAAGACCCCGGGCCCAGCGTGGGTCATTTCCAAGCTGAATCCTAATGGAGGAGTAGGTAGGAGACTGTTGGGGGGAAAGTAGGCAGGTGCACCTGGTGGGGGAGACAGTCTAGGCAAAGGCCAGGAGGTGGGAACCCGCTGGGCCCATTTTGTGAGGGCTGCAGGGGCTTGTGGGAGACGGAGAGGGGAAAGGCGTCAGAGCCTGAATGGGAGAGTGTGCTCCAGGGACGAGGGGCGTGAGGTCTAAGCCCCAGGCTGCTCTTGATATGTGATCACCCAGCAAGGAGGCAAGGGAGTCAGCTGGCCTTTCTCTCAACACCCCCCGCTCTCATCCTCTGCCCCACGACCCACGTTCGTGCAGCAGTGGGACGCAGCACCCAGTACCTCGGATGCAGAGGGAGATTTCAGGGGACAAGGTGGAGTGGGCTGGGGCTGATGATTCTACGTGGGACTGGAGAAAGGATCGGAGGCATCTCCAGTGTCAGAGCTAGAGGCAGCGGTGAGGGAGGAAGGTGAGGGCCAGCGGGGCAGGGCTGGGAGCTGGGTTCCACTTCCTCCTCCTCCCCTTCCCGCCCTGGCCTCTGGCTTCACCAATGATCTGGGAAAGGGGAAATTCTTGAGTATAAAGTCCAGCAGGTGGAAGGACCAGGCCTGGGACTCCTGGGTCCCCAGCAGTATCTGGAGGCATGACTGGGGCTGGAGGAGGCCTCAGGGTCTGGGGGAACCTGGTGCTGCTGGTAAGTGTTCCCCACCCAGAGCGGGCTCCCAAGGCAGGGACTCCCAGGTCTGAGGAGAAGGAGCTGGGTCCCTGCACCTCGATCTTGAGGAATTAGGTGCCAAAGGGAGAAGGAGCTGGGTCCCTGCACCTTGATCTTGAGGAATTAGGTGCCAAAGATCCCCTGGAGAAGGAAGAGGGCTTCAGGCTTGGCAGAAACTGTAGGAGAGTCTTACACCTGGGCTCTTAGAGACTGCTGTGTCTGCTGCGGGGACACCGGCTTCACTGGGACTCCTAGATACTGCCATGTCTGCTGCGGGGACACTGGCTTCACCTGGGTTCTTAGACACTGCGGTGTCTGCTTCGAGGACACCAGCTTCACCTGGGCTCTTAGACGCTGTTGTGTCTGCTGCAGGGGACACTGGCTTCAGGCGACACACAGCTGTGCTCACAATGACTGACGGACAGGGAGCAGCCCCTCCTTCCTCAGACTAAGAGTCCAGACCCCCAGCCCCTCCTCCCTCAGACTAGGAGTCCAGACCCCAGCCCCTCCTCCCTCAGAACTGACGGACAGGAGCAGCCCTTCCTCAGACTTCAAGAGTCCAGACCCCCTGGGCAGCCCCTCCTCCTCTCAGACTAGGAGTCCAGACCCCGCTCCTCCTCCTCGTAGTCCTCCCTCAGACTAGGAGTCCAGACCCCAGCCCCTCCTCCCTCAGATTAGGAGTCCAGACCCTCAGCCCGTCTTCCCTCAGACCCAGGAGTCCAGATCCCCAACCTCTCCTCTCTCAGACCCAGGAGTCCAGGCCCCCAGCCTCTCCTCCCTCAAACCAGGGGTCCAGATCCCAGCCCCTCCACCCTCAGACCCAGGAGTCCAGATCCCCAGCCCCTCCACCCTCAGACCCAGGCCCCCAGGCCCTCCACCCTCAGGCCAAGGTTCCTGTTCCCCAACCTTGGTTTTTTTCTCTCTTCCCAGTGTGTTCATTGCTCTCTGCCCTCGGTTTTCCAAGGCCATATATTTCGGGAAATGAAATCATTAATTTTATCTCTCGGCCTTCTTGGGTGGAGCCAACCCCAGCCCCCGACTCCGCCCCTGCCGTGCTCCCCCTTCTCGACCCAGGAAAGATGGTTTGGGTGACCTTCGTGACAGCCAACCTAACGGGGGCCCCACCCTCCCGTGCAAGGGTGACTCATGGGGCGGGGGACCAGCCGCTCCTCCCAGCCCCGCAGCCTCACTGGGCGGAGGAGTGGTTGAGAGGCTGACTCCGTTTTCTCTGGGTTCCCTCCAGGGCCTGTGCAGCTGGACAGGGACCAGGGCGACCGGTGAGTGACCCCTGCCTGAACTCACTGCCCACTCGAAGAGGTGGGACCGCAACTGCCATGAACCTCTGGGGCGTCCGCGTGGGGCCCAGTGGTCCATGGTAGGGCTTATGAGCGCTGTTGTTTCTGGACTCGGGGCACGAGCCCAAGGGGTTGGGAGGGATGGTACAGACCTGGTTCCCTTTTCAGCGGACCCTCCTTCCCAATTCTCAGCCCCCAACCCAGTGAGAAACCTGACAGTGGAGGCTCAGACCACCAGCTCCATCTCCCTGAGCTGGGAGGTCCCCGATGACCCACAGAACTCCACCTACTGGGTTCAGTGCACTGGAGACGGTGACAGAACAGAGACACAAAACACAACAGACACCAACATCACCGTGGATGGACTTCAACCCGGGTCATTGTACACGTTTTCTGTGTGGGTGGAGAAAGATGGAGAAAATAGCTCTGTGGAGACTGTTACTACTGCCACAGGTAAGAGGCAGCCACTGTTTTACTTTTATTTCTTTTGTAAGGACAGTGGTAGGGGCTGGGTTGAAAGCTGATAAAATGCGACAGGTTCTTTAGTCCAATCGAAACACAGTGGAAGCCACACATGAGAATTTCAATTTTTCTATCAGCCACATAAAAATAAGTAAAAAGAAACTGGTCAGCCTGTCTCTCCAAAAAAATTTAAAAATTAGCTGTGGTGGCCTGTTCCTGTGGTTCCTTCTCCTTGGGCAGCTGAGGTGAGAGGATCGCTTGAACCCGGGAGGCAGAGGTTGCAGTGAGCTCTAATTGGACCACTGCACTCCAGCCTGGGCAACAGACAGAAATCCTGTCTCAAAAACAAACAAACAGGCCGGGCGCGGTGGCTCAAGCCTGTAATCCCAGCACTTTGGGAGGCCGAGACGGGCGGATCACGAGGTCAGGAGATCGAGACCATCCTGGCTAACACGGTGAAACCCCGTCTCTACTAAAAAGTACAAAAAACTAGCCGGGCGAGGTGGCGGGCGCCTGTAGTCCCAGCTACTCCGGAGGCTGAGGCAGGAGAATGGCGTAAACCCGGGAGGAGGAGCTTGCGGTGAGCAGAGATCCGGCCACTGCACTCCAGCCTGGGTGACAGAGCCAGACTCCGTCTCAAAAAACAAACAAACAAACAAACAAACAAACAAACAAAAAAAAGAAAAAGAAAGAAAGAAAGAGAAAGAAACAAACTAAATTACTATGAGACATTTTATGTAGTCCATCAGATACATTTTTTTTTTTTTTTGAGACAGAGTCTCGCTCTGTCGCCCAGATTGGAGTGCAGTGGCATGATCTTGACTCACTGCAACCTCTGCCTCCCAGGTTCAAGCGATTCTCCTGCCTCAGCCTCTCAAGTAGCTGGGATTACAGGCACGTGTCACCGTGGCCGGCTGACTTTTGTTTTTTTTTTTTTTTTTTTTTGAGACGGAGTCTCACTCTGTCGCCCAGGCTGGAGTACAGTGGCCGGATCTCAGCTCACTGCAAGCTCCGCCTCCCAGGTTCTCGTTGTTCTCCTGCCTCAGCCTCCCAAGTAGCTGGGACTACAGGCGCCCGCCACCACACCCAGCTAGTTTTTTGTATTTTTTAGTAGAGATGGGGTTTCACCGTGTTAGCCAGGATGGTCTCGATCTCCTGACCTCGTGATCCGCCCATCTTGGCCTCCCGAAGTGCTGGGATTACAGGCTTGAGCCACTGCGCCCGGCCGACTTTTGTATTTTTACTTGAGATGGGGTTTCGCCATGTTGGCCAGGCTGGTCTCGAACTGCTGACCTCAGGTGACCTGCCTGCCTTGGTCTCCCAAATTGCGGGGATTACAGGTGTGAGTTACCACACCCAGCAGATACAAAATATTATCACTTTGACATGTAATCAATATAAAAAGAATCATTAAATATATACACCAAGTACATACCCACAAAAAATATAGATATACAAAGGATTAATGAGATAGTAAACATTCTTAATTTCAGACCAACTCTTCAAAAACCGGTGTGGATCTCACACTAATGGCTCATCTCATTTCGCAAAAGCCACATCATGAGTGCTCAACACTCACATGGAACTCGTGGCTGCCACACTGGACAGTGCAGAGCTGGGCCTCCCTGCCTCCACCTGCTGGATCCAGTGGTTAAAGAAGGGCTGGAAAGTTCGAGGGCCAGAAACTACAACTCATTTCCCCTCCTGTACTGGTTTTCAGCTCCCAACCCAGTGAGAAACCTGACAGTGGAGGGTCAAACCAACAGCTCCCTCGCCCTGACCTGGGAGGCCCCCGATGGCCCAGACCCACAGAACTCCACCTACTGGGTTGAATACACCAGAGACGGTGGCAGAAGCGAGACTCAAAGCACAACAGGCACCAACATCACCGTGGATGGACTTGAACCCGGGTCTTTGTACGTGTTTTCCGTGTGGGTGGAGAAGAATGGAATCAACAGCTCCCGGGAGACTGGAAATGCCACCACAGGTGAGAGGGAGTCGCCATTTGTTTGATCTCTTATTTGTTTAAGGGACGGTAGGCAGGAGAACGGGGCCGATTGTCTGGTCCATAGTCCCTCTGGGCCACACTGAGCCAGGTACCCATGTCCACATCTGGGGCAGTCTCAGCTCAGGAGATGAAGAAGGAATGAATGTCCATGGTACCTCCAGTTGTGAAGCTAGGGCCGGTCTGTGTCTAGAACTCTCTAGAATGTGGACCATAATGCCCAGGAGCATCTTCCTGCACCAACAGGAATGTGTAGGGGCCAAGGCATGTTACCTGAGCTTTCAAGGAATGAGATACTGTGAGTGGGGACACTCTGACCCTCTGACTCTTCTTCTAGTTCCCAACTGTGTCACATATTGAGGATGGAAACTCAGATCGTCAGCTCCATGGCTCTGATGCGGTCAGCTCCCTGTGTCTACACCTCCATTGTCCAATATGGTAGCCACTAGCCACACGTGGCTATTAGATTTAAACTCATTAAAGTTGCATGAAACTGCAAATTCAATTTCATGTTTCATATGTTTGAAAGCCCTGTTGAGGCCGGGCGCGGTGGCTCACGCCTGTAATCCCAGCACTTTGGGAGGCCGAGGCGGGTGGATCACGAGGTCAGCAGATCAAGACCATCCTGGCTAACACGGTGAAACCCCGTCTCTACTAAAACTACAAAAAATTAGCCGGGCGTGGTGGCGGCGCCTGTAGTCCCAGCTACTGGGAGGCTGAGGCAGGAGAATGGCGGGAACCCGGGAGGCGGAGCTTGCAGTGAGCCGAGATGGCGCCACTGCACTCCAGCCTGAATGCCAAAAAGAAAAAAGAAAAAAGAAAGCCCTGTTGAACGGCTTCCATTTCCTTCTCTCTTCTCCTACCATACTTGAAGGTGGGAGAGCATTTTCATCACTGTAGAAACTCACTTCAAAAGCGCTGACTCAGGTCCTTGCTACTCAAAACGTGGTCCGTGTGTAGGTGGCATCCATGTCTCTGAGATCTAATTGGAAATATATTGGCAAGTGACACTGGTGGGGAAAAAAAAGGGTCGGGGGGGAGTGCTGACTCTCAGCTCCATCCTAGCCTTGCTGAGTGAGAACCTGCCTTTCACAAGGTCCCCTGTGAGATGTACACACAGCGAAGAATGAGAAGCACTGGTCCAGACCATACACCCTGCAGCTACTGGCACCAGCTGTTGAGGGAGAACTAGGAAGTTTGATGATCAAAAATGGCCACTTGGCCGGGCACATTGCCTCATGCCTGTAGTCCCAGCACTTTGGGAGGCCGAGGTGGGAGGATCACTTGAGGACCGGAGTTCGAGACCAGCCTGGCCAACATGGTGAAAAGACATAAAAATTAGCCGGGTGTGGTGGTGCACACCTGTAGTCCCACCTACTCGGGAGGTTAAAGCAGGAGGATTGCTTGAACCCGGGCGGCGGAGGTTGTGGTGAGCCGAGATTGTGCCACTGCACTATGGCCTGGATGACAGACCGAGACTCTGTCTCGAAAAAACAAACAAACAAAAAGCTCCCTAGCTGCCCCCATTAGGTTCTGTAGTCCTGCTCATATTAGATCTTTCTTCCTAATTTCTCAGCCCCCAACCCAGTGAGAAACCTGAGAGTGGAGGCTCAGACCACCAGCTCCATCTCCCTGAGGTGGGAGGTCCCCGATGGCCCAGACCCACAGAACTCCACCTACTGGGTTCAGTGTACTGGAGACTGTGGTAGAACCGAGACACAAACCACAACAGACACCAACGTCACCGTGGATGGACTTCAACCCGGGTCATTGTACATGTTTTCTGTGTGGGTGGAGAAATACGGAGTAAATAGCTCCGTGGAGACTGTCACTACTGCCACAGGTAAGAGGGAGCCACTGTTTTATTTTTATTTCTTTTGTAAGGACAGTGGTAGGGGGTGGGTTGAGAGCTGACAAAATGCGACAGGTTCTTTAGTCCAATCGAAACACAGTGGAAGCCACACATGAGAATTTCGATTTTCTATCAGCCACATAAAAATAAGTAAAAAGAAACTGGTCAGCCTGTCTCTCCAAAAAAATAAAAAACTTAGTTGTGGTGGCATGTTCCTGTGGTTCCACCTCCTCGGGAGGCTGAGGTGTGAGGATCGCTTGAGCCCAGGAGGCAGAGGTTGCAGTGAGCTCTGACTGGACCACTGCACTCCAGCCTGGGCAACAGAGAGAAATCCTGTCTGGAAAAAAAAAAAGAAAAAGGAAGGAAGGAAGGAAAGAACAACTAAGTTTTTTATTTTTTTGGAGAGACAGGCTGACCAGTTTCTGGAAGAGGGAGGGAGGGAGGAGGGGGAGGGAGGGAGGGAGGGAGGAAGGAAGGAAAGGAGAAACAAATAAACTAAATTACTATGAGACATTTTATGTAGTCCCTCAGATACATTTTTGTTTCTTGAGAGAGTCTCTCTCTGTCTCCCAGCCTGAAATGCAGTGGCATGATCTTGACTCACTGCAACCTCCATCTCCTGGGTTCTAGCAATTCTCCTGTCTCAGCATCCCGAGTAGCTGGGATATAGGCGCATGCCACCATGCCTGCTTTGTATTTTTAGTAGAGACGGGGTTTTGCCATGTTGGCCAGGCTGGTCTCCAACTCCTGACCTCAGGTGATCCTGCTGCCTTGGCCTCCCAAGCGTGCGGGATAAAGTGTGGGCCACCACACCCAGCAGATACAAAATATTACCATTTTGACATGTAATCAATATAAAAAGGATCATTAAATACATACACCGAATATACCTCCAAAAATAAAAAATATATAAAAAGGATCAATGAGATAGTTGACATTCTTAATTTCACACCAGCTCTTCAAAAGCCGGTGTGGATCTACACTAATGACTCATCTCATTTCACCAAAGCTTCCACATCACGAGTGCTCAACACTCACATGGAACTCGTGGCTGCCACACTGGACAGTGCAGAGCTGGGCCTCCCCTGCCTCCACCTGCTGGATCAGTGGTTGGGGCCAGTGGAAAGTTCAAGGGCCAGAAACTACAACTCATTTCCCCTCCTGTACTGGTTTTCCGGCTCCCAACCCAGTGAGAAACCTGACAGTGGGGGGTCAAACCAACAGCTCCTCGCCTGACCTGGGAGGCCCCCGATGGCCCAGACCCACAGAACTCCACCTACTGGGTTGAATACACCAGAGACGGTGACAGAAGCGAGGCTCGACAACAGGCACCAACATCACCGTGGATGGACTTGAACCGGGTCTTTATTACGTGTTTTCCGTGTGGGTGGAGGAGGGAGGGAGGGAGGGAGGGAGGGAGGGAGGAAGGAAGGAAAGGAGAAACAAATAAACTAAATTACTATGAGACATTTTATGTAGTCCATCAGATACATTTTTGTTTTCTTGAGAGGGAGTCTCTCTCTGTCTCCCAGCCTGAAATGCAGTGGCATGATCTTGACTCACTGCAACCTCCATCTCCTGGGTTCTAGCAATTCTCCTGTCTCAGCATCCCGAGTAGCTGGGACTATAGGCACGTGCCACCATGCCTGGCTAACTTTTGTATTTTTAGTAGAGACGGGGTTTTGCCATGTTGGCCAGGCTGGTCTCCAACTCCTGACCTCAGGTGATCCACCTGCCTTGGCCTCCCAAAGTGCGGGGATTAGAGGTGTGGGCCACCACACCCAGCAGATACAAAATATTACCATTTTGACATGTAATCAATATAAAAAGGATCATTAAATACATACACCGAATATACCTCCAAAAATAAAAAATATATAAAAAGGATCAATGAGATAGTTGACATTCTTAATTTCACACCAGCTCTTCAAAAGCCGGTGTGGATCTCACACTAATGACTCATCTCATTTCGCAAAAGCCACATCACGAGTGCTCAACACTCACATGGAACTCGTGGCTGCCACACTGGACAGTGCAGAGCTGGGCCTCCCTGCCTCCACCTGCTGGATCCAGTGGTTAAGGACGGGCTGGAAAGTTCAAGGGCCAGAAACTACAACTCATTTCCCCTCCTGTACTGGTTTTCAGCTCCCAACCCAGTGAGAAACCTGACAGTGGAGGGTCAAACCAACAGCTCCCTCGCCCTGACCTGGGAGGCCCCCGATGGCCCAGACCCACAGAACTCCACCTACTGGGTTGAATACACCAGAGACGGTGACAGAAGCGAGACTCGAAGCACAACAGGCACCAACATCACCGTGGATGGACTTGAACCCGGGTCTTTGTACGTGTTTTCCGTGTGGGTGGAGAAGAATGGAATCAACAGCTCCCGGGAGACTGGAAATGCCACCACAGGTGAGAGGCAGTCGCCATTTGTTTGATCTCTTATTTGTTTAAGGGACGGTAGGCAGGAGAACGGGGCCGATTGTCTGGTCCATAGTCCCTCTGGGCCACACTGAGCCAGGTACCCATGTCCACATCTGGGGCAGTCTCAGCTCAGGAGATGAAGAAGGAATGAATGTCCATGGTACCTCCAGCTGTGAAGCTAGGGCCGGTCTGTGTCTAGAACTCTCTAGAATGTGGACCATAATGCCCAGGAGCATCTTCCTGCACCGACAGGAATGTGTAGGGGCCAAGGCATGTTACCTGAGCTTTCAAGGAATGAGATACTGTGAGTGGGGACACTCTGACCCTCTGACTCTTCTTCTAGTTCCCAACTGTGTCACATATTGAGGATGGAAACTCAGATCGTCAGCTCCATGGCTCTGATTCGGTCAGCTCCCTGTGTCTACACCTCCATTGTCCAATATGGTAGCCGCTAGCCACACGTGGCTATTAGATTTAAACTCATTAAAGTTGCATGAAATTGCAAATTCAGTTTCACATTTCGTGTGCTCAAAAGGCCTGTTGAGGGGCTCCCAGTCCCCCCTTCATCCTCCACTGTGCTAATGCCTACCATATTGGAAAGTCAGAGGCCATCTTCACCACCACACAAAGCTCCCTTGATTCTCTCTTATTATTATTATTATTTTTTAGAGCCAGAGTCTCGCTTTGTCACCCAGGCTGGAGTGCAGTGGCAGGATCGTAGCTCACTGCGGCCTGAAATTCCTGGGCTGAAGCCATCTGCCCACCTCAGCCTCCCAAGTAGCAGGGACTACAGATGCTCAACTAATTTATTTTTTTTAGAGATGAGGTCTTGCTGTGTGGTCCAGGCTGGTCTCTAACTCCTGGCCTCAAACAATCTCCCAACCTCCGCCCCCCAAACTGCTGAGGTTACAGGCGTGAGCAATTGTGCTGGGCCATGGGCCTCTCTTAGGCAGTGACTCCAGGCATAAAGGCTTCACCTTTATGATATAATCTTACAAGGGCCCTACCTCTTAATGCTATTCCATTGGAGATTAGGTTTCAGCTTATGGATTTGTGGAAGGGGACATACATATGGAGGCTATAGTGCTACTCAAATTATGACCCACGTGTGAGCTGCATCAGTGTTCCAGGGAGCTGACTGGAAATGATCGGCGCCACCCCAGACCTACTGCTCAGAACCCGCATTCAACGAGATCCTCCGTGAGATGTGCACACATTGAAGTTTTTTCTTTTGTTCTTTTCTTTTCTGTTTTTCTTTTCTTTCTTTTTTTTTTTTTTGAGATAGAGTCTTGCTCTGTTGCCCAGGCTGGAGTGCAGTGGTGCAATCTCAGCTCACTGCAACCTCTGCCTCCTGGGTTCAAGCGATTCTCATGCCTCAGCTTCCTGAGTAACTGGAATTACAGGCACACGCCACGCCATGCCTGGCTAACTTTTGTATTTTTAGTAGAGACAGTGTTTCCTTTTTTTTTTTTTTTTTTTTTTTTTTTTTTGAGATGAAGTCTCACTCTTGTCCCCCAGGCTGGAGTGCAGTGGTGCGATCTCGGCTCACTGCAACCTCTGCCTCCTGGGTTCAAGCGATTCTCCTGCCTCAGCCTCCCGAGTCGCTGGGATTACAGGCACCTGCCACCACGCCTGGCTAATTTTTGTATTTTTAGTAGAGAAGGGGTTTCACCATGTTGACCAGGTTGGTCTCGAACTCCCGACCTCAGGTGATCCACCCGCCTCGGCCTCCCAAAGTGCTGGGATTACAGGCGTGAGCCACTGCGCCCGGCCGAGACAGCGTTTCTACTAAACCCCGTTGACCATGTTGCCCGGGCTGGTCTTGAACTCCTGATCCACTTGCCTCAGCCTCCCAAAGTGCTGGGATTACAGGCGCGAGTCACTGCGCCCGACACATTAAAGTTTGAGAAACACGGTCTAGAACATACACCCTGCGTCTGCTGGCACCAGCAGTTGAACAAGAGCTAAGACCACAGAGGGCAGTGAGGGACCCACTCCTGCCCCATTTTGTTCTGTATCTCTGCCCACATAGAATCTTCTTCCTAATTTCTCAGCCCCCAACCCAGTGAGAAACCTCCATATGAAGACTCAGACCAACAGCTCCATCGCCCTGATCTGGGAAGTCCCCGATGGCCCAGATCTTCAGGACTACATCTACTGGGTAGAGTACACTGGAGACGGTGGTGGAACTGAGACCCGAAACACAACAAAGGCCAATGTGACAGCTGAGGGACTCGAACCCGCAACCTTGTACACATTCTCTGTATGGGCAGAAAAAAATGGAGCACGTGGCTCCAGGCAGAATCTCAGCATCTCCACAGGTAGGAACCCTCAGTGCCCACTCCCTGTTTTGGTGAGAGGTTCAGAACCGGCAGCAGCGGCGTGGCACCTCCTCTGGGCTCTGGCTCTGTAGTCCGTAGGCTCTTCAGCCTCACTGAGCTCAGACATCCCCCTCTCCAAGTTCACAGGTAGATGTAATCACAGCTGGGGGCTGGCTCTGCCCTAAAGAAGAAGACAGCCCATGTGACGTCTCCTGCCGCTGAGCGTGGGGCTTCGGGGGCACAGGCCTTTTCTTTCTTCCCCTTCCCCTTCCTCTTTCTTTCTTTCCTTTCCTTCCTTCCTTCCTTCCTTCCTTCCTTCCTTCCTTCCTTCCTTCCTTCCTTCCTTCCTTCCTAATTCGGGAACTAGAGGTTACAGTGAGCCTAGATCGTGCCATTGCACTCTAGCCTGGGTGACAAAGTGAGCCTCTGTCTCAAATAGCCTGGTGTGGTGGCTCACGCCTGCAATCCCAGCACTTTGGGAGGCCACGGCGGGCGGATCACCTGAGGTAGGGAGTTGGAGACCAGCCTGACCAACATGGAGAAACCCCCTCTCTACTAAAAATATGTAACTAGCCGGGTGTGGTGGCACATGCCTGTAGAATCGCTTGAACCCGGGAGGCGGAGGTGGTGGTGAGCCGAGATCACACCACTGCACTCCAGCCTGGGCAACAAGAGCAAACTCCATCTCAAAAATAATTTCTTAGTCTTATGGTTCTAGTTTCCTTCTGTTTTGTGATCCTGCCTAAGAGTGGGGCTAACTCTGATCTTGTCTGCTGTAGTATTAGTGGTCTGTCTAACCTTCTAAGGGAATTATACAGTATATAGTTATTTGATCCTGGCTTTCTTCACCAACATTGTGGCGAAGTGTGGATCCATGCTGTGTGTTTTTATTTTTATTGCTGTGTAGTATTTATCATATGAATGTATTGCAATTTATTGTTTCATCCCTCTCTTCATGAACATTTTGTATTTCTAGTTTTGGGGCCATCATGAATAAAGTCACCATGAACATTTCTGTCCATGTCTTTTGGAGCACACAGAAAGTTCTTTCAGGTGTCTGCCTAGCAGTGGAATTGCTCAGTGATGATATATGTACCTTTAGCTTTCATAGTTACTGACAAACCATTTCTCAAAGCAGCTTCCCAGGTTACCATCCTGCCAGCAATGTGAGGCAGCTTCATTTGCCCCATACTTGCAAACAGTTGGTGGTTCGCTCTTTCCATTTTAGTTCTGCTGCAGTGTTCTGATACTTCCTTGTGGCTTAATTTCCATAATGATCAACGAAGCTGAACACCTTCCCATTTGTGTGTGTGTGTGTGTGTGTGTGTGTGTGTGTGGCCATTTGGATATTCTTTTTCTTGGTAAAATGTCTCTTCTCAAGTCCATTGTTCAGCATTGGCCTTCTGCCTTCCTTAATTTGTAGGAAGCCTTTGAAAATATAAAGGTACAGCTCTTTTTTGTCAGATGTTTGTGTCACTAAGTGTCATCATGGCCTGTTTTTTTTTTTTGTTTTTTTTTGAGACGGAGTCTCGCCCACGCCCAGGCTGGAGTGCAGTGGCGCCATCTCGGCTCACTGCAAGCTCCGCCTCCTGGGTTTACGCCATTCTCCTACCTCAGCCTCCCAGTAGCTGGGACTACAGGTGCCCACCACACCTGGCTAATTTTTTTTGTATTTTTAGTAGAGACGGATTTCACGGTATTGGCCAGGATGGTCTGGTATCCTGACCTGTGATCTGCCTGCCTCAGCCTCCCAAAGTGCTGGGATTACATGTGAGCCACCGCACCCAGCCATGGCCTAGTTTTAACTCAGTACTCTGCTGAATCGCATGGGATCACAGGTGTGGAAGGGTTTGCTTTCTCTGAGACTGCAGAGATTTCCACTCCTTCCAGCCTTCCTCTCTCATAGAAACAAACGAGGGAGTCTCTTTCTCCTGCAGAGTCCAGGGTTGCTGGAGAACTGAGAAGGGCTGTGCTATGGTTTCTTCAGCTAAGAGACTGGGTTTTCCCTGGAGGATGCATTGGAACTTGTCAGGTGCGCCCCTAACAAACGTATTCAGCACCAAGGACAGCAATCCCAGGAGCCACCAGAGCCTAGAGGCCCAGAAATGGCTGCAAATGGGCGGAACCATGCTCTCTGTCCACCTCTTCCTCCGTGATCTGGGGCTGAGCGTTCCTTGCTTTCTGCTGTGGTTTCACCCTCAGCTTCCCCCGGACGTTAACAATAGCATAAGACGCATCAGTAAATACGTAAAATGGAGACCTGATCAAGGAGGGGAGAGGTGGGGACACGTGTGTGTGAGTTCTGGGAAGCCTTAGGACAACTCCATCCCTCACCTGGGTACTCCTCTTGATGAGCATGGTAGGGAGGAGCCCTACGGTCTGCCTTCCTACACTTCCTTATTCCAGGACACTGGCAAAAATGATGTGGTCCAGTGTGCCCCGCAGAAGCTGGCCTCTGCTGGATGCTTCTTGCCTGTGAGATGACTAAGAGCTGTGGCTCCTGGTCTTTCTACCTCCTCACTTCTGACCAGGAACACAGAAAGGTCTCTAGCACCCTTGGGCTTCCGGAAGGGGGAAAGGCAGTGAACTCCACAGTCCTTTCCGAGCTACCAAAGATTCTTCCCTGCCCCAAGTCAGCTGTTTGGGAATGGAGCTGAGAAAACCTACTCTGGGTGTGGAAGAAGGAATTACCAAACCCAGTGTGGACTGTGCCATAGTTTTGAATTAAGACTTTGAAAGCACTTTGGGGCCAGGCGCGGTGGCTCACGCCTGTAATCCCAGCACTTTGGGAGGCTGAGGCGGGAGGACCACGAGGTCAGGAGATTGAGACCATCCTGGCTAACATGGTGAAACCCGTTTCTACTAAAAACAATAAAAATACAAAAAATTAGCCGGCATGGTGTGGGTGCCAGTAAACCAGCCACTGAAGGGTGAGGCAGGATAATTGCTTGAACCCGGGAGGTGGAGGTTGCAGTGAGCCAAGATCATGCCACTGCACTCCAGCCTGGGTGACAGAGTGAGACTTTGTCTCAGAACAAACAAACAAAACCACCAAGAGATGAATCCACCTGGGGAAGTATGTCTTTTCATAGAGGCCATAAAGCTCATCACTGCTATTATGAACTAAAATATTTCATCCTCCTTCAAAATTTGTGTTAAGCCCCAACCTCCGGTACCTCAGAATGTGATTGTATCTGGAGACAGGGTCTTTTGAAGAAGTGATTAAGTTAAAATGAGGCTGTTTGGGAGGCTGAGGCAGAGATGGATCTGGAGCCCAGGAATTGGGAATCTACTCTGGGCAGCATGGTGAGAATCTCATTCCCGAAAAAAAAAAAAAATTTTTTTTTTTTAAGTTAGCCAGGCTGGGTGTGGTGGCTGACGCCAGTAATCCCAGCACTTTGGGAGGCAGAGGCAGGTGGATCGCTTAAGGTTAGGAGTTCAAGGCCAACATGGTGAAACCCAGTTCCTACTTAAAAATACAGAAAATTAGGCCAGGTGCAGTGGCTCACACCTGTAATCCAGTGATTCCCGAGAGGCCAAGGCGGGTGGATCACCTGAGGTCAGGAGTTCAAGACCAGCCTGGCTACTCATGGGGAAACCCCATCTCAACTAAGAATACAAAAAAATTAGCTGGATGTGGTGGTGGGTGCCTGTAATCCCAGCTACTCAGGAGGCTGAGGCAGGAGACTCTTGAGCAATGGGAGGCAGAAGTTGCAGTGAGCTGAGATCACGGCATTGCACTCCAGCCTGGGTGACAAGAGCAAAACTCTGTCTCAAAAAATTAAATAACAACACCTGGGCATGGTGGTGGGTATCTGTATCCCAACCACTCAGGAGGCTGAGGCAAGAGAATCGGGCGAACCTGGGAGGCAGAGTTTGCAGTGAGCCGAGATCACGGCACTGCACTCCAGCCTTGGCAACAGAGCAAGATTTGGTCTTTTAAAAAAAAAAAAAGTTCGGTGGTTATGTCACGCTTGATCCCAGCACTTTGGGAGGTTGAGGAGGGTGGGATCACAAACAGGAGATTGAGACTATCCTGAACACGGAACCTCTGTCTCTACTAAAAATACAAAAAAAATTAGCCGGGCGTGGTGGCAGGTGCCTGTAGTCCCAGCTACTTGGGAGGCTGAGGCAGGAGAATGGCGTGAACCCCGGGAGGCAGAGCTTGCAGTGAGCCGGGATCGCGCCACTGCACTCCAGCCTGGGTGACGCAGCCAGACTCCATCTCAAAAAAAAAAAAAAAGTCACTAGGGGTGAGCCATAAATCCAACCCCTGACTAAGTGTCCTTATTAGAAGAGGAGGTTAGGGCACAGACACATGGAGGACAAGGGAGAAGGTGGCCATTTGCAAGCCAGAGAGAGAGAGACCTCAGGAGGAACCAAACCTGCCCACATCTTCATCTTGGACCTCCAGCCTCCAGAACGGTGAGAAAACAAATCTCTGCTGTTTGGGTCACCTAGTCTGTACTCTTTGTTGCAGTAGCTCCTAGCAAATGAATATAAATTAGCTTTTATGGAAACCCCAACAGTGCCCAGATTCCTGGATTCTGGAACAATTGGGATGAATTTTCTCACAGTCCCCTCCTCCCCTCCCCTCCCCTCCCTCCTCCCTTCCCTCCCTCCCCCTCCTCTTCTCTTCTCTTCTTTCTTTGTGGAGTTCCCGCTCTGTTGCCCAGGCTGGAGTGCAGTGGTGCACCCCACTCACTGCAAGCTCCACCTCCCGGGTTCATGCCTCTTCTCCTGCTTCAGCCTCCCGTGGTAGCTGGGATTACAGGCGCCCACCACAGCGCCCGGCTAATGTTTGTATTTTTAGTAGAGACGTGTCACCCGTGTTAGCCAGGATGGTCTCGATCTCCTGACCTCATGATCCATCTGCTTCGGCCTTCCAAAGTGCTGGGATTACAGGCTTGAGCCACTGCGCCTGGCCCTTTTGATGGAGTCTCACTCTGTCGCCCAGGCTGGAGTGCAGTGGCATGATCTCAGCTCAGTGCAACCTCCAC